GATTAACGCCGTGGATGTGGCAGATACTTGACCCCATGTGTGTGTGTACGTGTATGTGAGTGTGTGTGTAAATGTGTATATATGTGTGTACGTGACCGTATGCGTGCGAAAGTACGCACGTCTTCGCTTGAGTATAATCAAAAATCGACGTACTCAGCGATCCTCACTCTCAACGAAGATGAACTGGTTCTCCGAGAATTATTAGGAATACTTCCATCAACAATTACCATCAAGAGGATTTAGTATCTCAATGTTTTGAATTTGATTATTCATCCTAAAATCGAGTATACTCATTAGAACTCGGGGTGAAGGATATTTAACATTATCTTCATGTCTTGCATACCCTAAGTGTGATATAGTAGCCGATACCTGGGCGCATTTTCCTAAAGTTTTTGCTTCTTGTTTACAGGTATAGAAGTAACCAAGAATGGGTTCATCTTCATTCTCAGGTTCAGGATGATTTACATTTACTCTTCATTAAATGAGATCCATAATTGATGAACCGTGGCACATCTGAATCGAAAAAACAGCCAAATGAAACTAATGAAACCTGGTTCATTTGTATTTTGATCCAAGTAAAAAATGCGTTCCTTATCTTCTTCCTCATCATGATCAATTCTGCCAGCTGTTAATTCAACCTATGGTGCTCTTCGGCGCACAAGGTTCTTTATTTTTACTCTTGCCTGAGCAACATTAACTTCTTGTACTTGAATCAGCATTCTGTCAGCTAGATTTTCATCTGTGCTTGCCATTGTGATGATTCTGATGTATCTATTTATTTATTATAGCTCCGGCAATTCGAAGAAAATCACTCAAATTCGGGATATAAGTAAGAAAAAAACTTGAATATTCTTTGGAGATGTCCGTTTCGAACCTCTACTATACGTCTTATTTTGGTTATTAGTCTTGACTGATTTGCCTCTTCAGTTGAGAATTGAGTCTGATTTGGCTGTAGTAGTGGTGTCATTTTCGTATTCAAACCAATTCTCTGGAAGGTAGGAATAGCATCTCGATATCCACGATCTACAATACATATAACTTGTAGTCGAAAACAGTTTCGCATTCCATTAACATCTGGCATTGTTGTTAGCAGAGTTTGAAAAATAAAGACCATGAATTAAATGTAATATATAGCCATCAGGAGTAACTATCATTGAAGGCTTCACCTTTGTTGACACAGTGTGATGTGGTGTAGGATTATACAAACGATTCGCAAATGGAGTCATGTGTCTTTCTATATAATCTTCTCAGGCAATAACCTCAAATCCAATGTTCTCGGGGGCGAAATGCATCATCGAGGATTGTTTACTTGAATATTGAAACATTACACTTAACACACACACACACACACACACATGGGGTCAAGCATCTGCCGCGTCCACGCCGTTGACTCTGTGTAACGCTAAGTGCAGATTTGGCTATATTGAGTGACTTTCAGCTCACGTATCTCCGAAACCGTGCATAGGATGTGGCCAGACCCATGGGGACTTTTGATCCTCATCATATTACCTACTTGATCCCACAGTTTCAATCAATGTGACGAAAAGTCTTTTTCCATTGGTTTTGTGCGGGGTTCTTTACAGAACAGAAGAAACTGTATTTTCAACATGACGGTTTTCCTTCACACAGTGCAATTATTGAAACTGGTTAGATCAGCATTTCCAAAATAAATGGATAGGATAGTTTGGTCCTATAAGATGGCCCGCACCCTCCCTAGATATAAATCCTCTTGATTTCTTTTTATGGAGATATTTGAAGTTTATGCCCAGGATTAATAAGATAATTTAATCATTTTAATGAAGAAAATATCAGAAGCAATAGCCGACATAAACGAGGATACAATTCACTTAGTTTATATAAAAAAAAAGAAAAATGTATACCAGTAGGAGGACAACACATATAATAGGTTTGTTATCATTTTGTTCAATAAATTATGCGTTTTAATCATAATTTTCGCAAAAATATCAACTTTGAGATACGATACGATACGTTCAAATTTCATATCTGGACTAGGTACTATTAACATTAAAAACAATTTCTTTCAGTAACATTTTTAAATTCCTCAAAAAACTAATATTTTACTCTTGGCACAAATTCACATTTCCTTATTTGCTAACCACCCTGTATGTTGTTTTGAAAGTCTGAGTATGGCTTAATGACTTTTCACGATAAGCAAAACATTTTATGAAGAATGACTTCTTCCCTTAAAATTTGAAATGAGGAAAATTACTAGTATAGTTAGGTCCATCCGGGGACACACTGTATACTCCTTTAATTGCACTTCTACGAACTATATCTGGATAGCTGTTGACTTTCTGATAAAGCCTGTGCCATAAATAATAGTCCTGTAGCCAGAGGTGTCCCCATTGCCTCCTTCATTTAGATGGAGTTACCCAAGTATTTTTTATGTATTTTGAGCTGCAGAACACGAATTTTTTGGGATGTCGATAAGTTTTTTATTAACAAAAAAATTGCGAAATACTGAACACTTAGTTTTTGGAAAATAAAAAGTACTTTCTTGTTATTTGACCCATTTTAAGAAGAAAATGTCTATTGCAATTTTTTTGTTAAACGCATAGTTTTCGAGATAAACGCCGTTAAAAACTCAAAAAATGCGATTTTTGCGATTTTCAATTGTTAATAACTTTTGATTGAATAGGTATTTTGTAATTCTGCCGACAGCGTTTGAAAGGTCATGTTAAATACTACAAATTATGAGTAATTGCAGTGTGAAAATTTGTTTTTTCCACTGTTATTTGAAGCTATAAACAAATAGCGATTGAGCGTTCAGAAGGGTGCGCCGCCATGTACGTAAGAGAGCGGTTGCCTTCATACAGGCGTTTAATACACTATCTTGACGCGTAATCTTCATTTCTAGACCAAAGAAACGATGAAAACTGAACGAAACATTTACGATTTAATGAAAATTTGCAATATTACAATAATTAAAATTATTATACAAAAATAATTTTTATACAAAAATAATTTTATGTACTTCTAAACTGTAAAAGTTTCAAATATTTTTATTCTTACAAGTATTTTTTTTTTCATACATGCACAGAAAGTGCAGCAAGATATTTGAATCGATTGCAATGCAGGCAGCTGGTAATTCTTCGGGAGGTGGTATTAAGATGTTTACCCTCTCTGGCAACAGTAGATCGTCTTTAATAAAAAATCCATATGAAGTTGGGTCTAATTCGTTCATATGTGAATTTAAAACATTCGTTTGAATATGAACAACGTAAAAAGCCCGTAAGATGTGAAGTCTAATCGAATCAGAAGTCGGTGGCAAATTTTCTATTATAGAATTTTTGTGTTTATAAATCCAAACCCTTAATTCATTAAATGATTTACAACTACAATCAACATTTCTTATAATGTTAACTAAGAACTCTTCAGCTTTTTTCACGCTATCTTTTATACTTATGTCGGAACAATCTGCAAAATAATTTCAAAATGAAGAAAGAAAAGTATTACAGTTATTTTGCCAAAAAGTCATATTTACCCTTAGCAAAATTTCGTAAATATTCCACAGGGTTTGATTTCAAAGCTCTCGTCTTTGTGCCTACTTTGCTTTATAAACGATAATAAAAAAGTTTATACTTACTTATATTAAAAGCGTAACATCGTATAATTTAGGTGTTTTTATAATTATTATTTTTTAAACTTGTATAATAATTTTAATTATTGTAATATTGCAAATTTTCATTAAATTGTTAATGTTTCGTTCAGTTTTCATCGTTTCTTTGGTCTAGAAATGAAGAGTACGCGTCAAGATCGTGTATTAAACGCCTGTAAGAAGGCAACCGCTCTCTTACATACATGGCGGCGTACCCTTCTGAACGCTCAATCGCTATTTGTTTATAGCTTCAAATAACAGTGGAAAAAAAAAATTAACACTGCAATTACTCATAATTTGTAGTATTTAACGTGAACTTTCAAACGCCGTCAGCAGAATTACAAAATACTTATTCAATCAAAAGTTATTAACAATTGAAAATCGCAAAAATCGCATTTTTCGAGTTTTTAACGGCGTTTATCTCGAAAACTATGCGTTTAACAAAAAAATTGCAAAAGACATTTTCTTCTTAAAATGGGTCAAGTAATAAGAATGTACTTTTTATTTTGCCAAAAACTAAGTGTTCAGTATTTTACAATTTTTTTTGATAATAAAAAACTTATCGACATCCGGGCAAACTTCTACCCAAAAAATTCGTGTTCTGCAGCTCAAAATACATAAGAAACACTTGGGTAACTCCATCTAAATCAGGGGTGTCCAACTTGCAAGGCCTCAAGGGCCAAAACTAAAACCTTTGATGTGGTTGCGGGCCATATAATAATTTTGTTAAAGTAATAACAAAATAACGTGAGGTATAAAAATAATTGAAACAAAAAAGGAGTATTATTTTATTGCTCAACAACTAAATTTTTTTAGATAAAATTTATCTAAAAAAATATAAATTTATACATAATTTTTTTCAAGAGCTAAGACAAACATTGCAATAATAATGAAAAGTTGTAAAAACAGTGTTAGAGAGACCATAAAATATAAATCTTTTTTCACAATGGCAGCATTTAAAGAAAATATAAGCTTTTCGTAAAACATTACGCGGGCCACAACTAATAGCATCGCGGGCCGGATGCGGCCCGCGGGCCGCCAGTTGGACAACCCTGATCTAAATGAAGGAGACAATTGGGACCCCTCTGGCTACAGGACTATAAAGTTTAATGAAGCTGTTTGTCATAAATGTGGAACACCATGTTTCATTTAACCTAGTCAACTTAAAATTACATAAATACATTGGATACAGTTGGATTGATTATTTTGGTAAATTTGCAAAAAATAGAAGTTTTAGGATTAGTAATGTAAATTACAGACAAATATTTTATATTAATAACTTTTGTAAGGAATATTTTATGTAAATTAAAAAAATTAACTGCAATACTGTCATCTAAAATCTGAACTAAATAATAACAGTAGCAACTAGTTATCAACTCACTTTCTCTGATTCGTCTTTAAGGACTTCTGAAGCAATCAAACTACTTGTTCTATGAGAAAACGCTAATATCGCCGATATATTCGGGGCATTTTTTGCATTCCTTTGGTATACGAGTATACTAAGTTCTTCTGATGATATTTTAAGAAATAATTCCTTATCAATCATTGTCAGTTGTTCTGCTAATACAGTAGAATCAAAGTCCCAAGCTGACCAGCTCATATCTATTTTTAAAATCCTTTTAATGTACTGAAGAGATGTTTCGTGAGGTTGTTTACTAGATCCTAATGGAAAAGAAAACGTATTTAATATATTGTTAGTGGTAATGTTTGATAATTCTGTATTTTTCATATTTTGCTTTCATCAATTTCCTAAAAGCTTTGAGAAAGCAACAGTTTCAAATTACATTTGGATTTTTAACAATGACAAAACTCAAACGGCACTATAGGTACATAAGTATTGGTTATAAAAAATGATGTGCCTAAATACGCAACAGAAGATTTTCTTGAAAGTTAAATAACTTTTCTTCCAGTTGCAACATTATGGTTTCATGAGAGAATTGCTTAAGTTTGAAATCATATTCAATTCATTTTGAGTAGGTAGGTAATAATAGCCGCCAGTTTTACTTCAAATTTCAATTACTTCAAAGGATCATGGATCACTTACGAATAGTTTTAGGAAAAAATCTTGTTTCTTTATTTGTTTGGACGAGATAATAAATAAGCCTTGAAAGAGAGACCCACGTCGCTGTTACGTCTTGATAAAATATATTTTTTTTCATAATGAAAAAAAAGGTGTAAAACTGCCTTTAAAGGGAACTTTGGTAGTTAATTGTTCCATATAATTCATCTAAAATTCTACACTATAAATAGATGCTATAAAAATATACTGATAATAATGATTAGGGGTTAACTTGTTTTACAAAATTTTGTAGACTTAATAAATATGTTGTAATGAGCCAGTTAACCCTTTCGCCACTAAAGGGCATATATGTCCCACGGCATTTTAGGTTTCAAAAATACGGTCGAAGTTTTTTTTGAAAATACGTTTTTTTGTATAACTATAATACTTTTATAGGCCCTCAGAACAAGTTTATTCAATATTATCTTTTTAGCATGCCACATTTTGAAGATATTGCCTGGGACATATATAACCCGCTAGTATTTTATGGTGGGATTTATATGTGCCAGTAGTATTGTGAAATGACGATTCAGGAAATCTTTTACTGGATGTTTTATTAGAATATAGAAAAATACAGTCAAAATAATAAGATTAATTATGGTAAGAAGCAAAGCATGAGTTGCACAAGGGAACTTCACAATAAGAGCAGACCACTGTCGTTCGTTTTTCTACTTTATTCTGAGCACAATTGCGACATCTTTTTCTAGTGCTTGTGACAATCGGTAAATGATCGCCAACGTTTATCAGATTTTTTGTAGATGCAACTGATCTGTTATACGAACGTTTTCTAACAATGTTTGCACTTGCACGACCTGTTGCAATCATGGTTTCAGCTAAATTTACCAAGAAATTAAGAAAAGGCAGTTTTGGATTATTACGCAACTCTTTACAAATAATCCAAGCATTCACAGCGGAAGTCAAAAGAAGCTTGTAAAAAACTTTTTTCCACCATTTCAGTGACTGCCTGTCAATATCGTATAACCCGGTGAACTGATCTGATAAGTCTACACCGCCCATATTGGCGTTATAAAATCCTATTGCTTCCGGGCACTCCACATTTATTTTGGATCCATCTATGGATCTTCGGGTTACCTCAATTTTTACATCTCTATGGCAGTTGCTAAGTACCAATACTTCTTTAGTGTCCTTCCAAAGAAATCCTATCGTCCCGTTATCATTATGCATGCTTTCAATTTCTCCCTTTCTCCTTTTTCTCTTTTCAAACTTAGGCATGTTCTTTCTTGACGCAATGCACGTTCCGACTGCTGGAAATGGCAACTGATCTAATAAATCTACAGAAGTGAAAAAGCGATCAAAACAAAAAGACACATTTGGCTCTCTGACTGTATCTGTAAGTTTTCTTACAACTCTTTCACCTAAAGTACCATCAAGGACTTCAGCTTCCTTCCCAGAGTAAATGTTAAAGTCGTAAACGTAACCAGACTTAGCATCACACCGTTGCCAAATTTTAATACCTCGTTTTATTGGCTTTAAAGGTAGGTATTGCTTGAGAGTCGATCTGCCTTTGAATTTGGTCATTGATTCGTCAATGGATTGGTGTGAAGATTCTGTTCTTATTTCAGCAAAAGTTTTTTTCAGACAGTTGATGACATCTTCAATGTAGTACAACTTGCTGCACTTGTCAGGTTTTTGGGTGAACTGAAGTAAAGTTTGCTAACTAACAATTGAAACCTGTCCCTTGAAATGGCTGATTTTATAGCATCATTTCCCAACGACTTATTAGAAGACCAATAATGATGCATTGCAGGGACCTTATTGTAGGCCATAGTTAGAAGGCAGTCTATCACAATTTTTATTTCATGAGCATCTGTTAGTATTTGCTTTTTTTTAGTGGTTTCTTCTAACATTTTCAAACGCTCGTTGGTACACTGCGCGATGTAGTGGAACAAACTGTTAGGAAATAATTTCATAAATATGTGTAGTTCAAATCAGCTAGAATAGAGCAGACTCTTTCTTCTGGAATGCTGAAACGGGGGACAAAGTTCTCATCAACTTTATTCCATCCAACTAAGTTAGGTTTTTTTTTGGTCGATGTTGCGGAAGTAGCGTCAATAACATCTGACTGTTCGATTTCATTCTCTGACGAGCTAGTTGTCTCCAAATTGCAATCGTGATTAGCAGATGAGTTTTTTGGCAGCAATTTATTTTTATATTTCTTCTGAATAATACGTTTTTTCTTAGGTATTATTTCAAAATCTGAGTCGCTATCTGACTTATGCTCAGACTCGATATATTCAGATCCACTATCTTCGAATGGATCCTGAATAGACTCAATATCGGATAGATTTCCTGCCAACACCTCTAATTCTTGGCGGGTCAAATACCTCCTAAAATTAAAATAAAAGTTGTGGTTTCTATACTACCGGGACACATATAACCCACTATAAAATACTGGTGGGACACATATGTCCCGGAACCCCCAAACAGAAAATATTGTGCAAATAAACTATGTGAATTTACAAAAATGTGTTAATTTCAACTTACCTTGCCATTATAACAACACTGTAACAAGATTGTTAAATTGTGGCACAATAATACGATAAGTACTGGCAATAACATGCACTATACGCAACGCGACGTACACCATAATAAATTTTGAGGTTAACTAAGACTGGTGTTAATAAGGTGGACTGTTGTGTACGCGAATATATACCTAGTACTAGCAGCACGGTTGGGACAGTTTGAATAGGGATTTATAATGCATTGGTATGCTTGCAGTGTTTTTTAAAATTTCCTTGGGACATATATAACCCAATAGTATTTTTAAAGCAGAAAAAATTATATTGTAGCCGTAGCGAAAGGGTTAAGTCTGATTTTTACTCTGCGGATTTTATCGTTATTTTTTAATAGATTATTTTACCCCGACGTTTGTTATTAACTTACAGGCTGTTTCAATTGAAACTTCCCACTGGGAAAATATCGGAATTAAAACCCAAAAAACACCTGAGACATGTCGATTTTCATTTCAAGAGGGATATGTGATGGCGTAAGTTTTGGTGTCTTGGAAGCTACCCCTTAGGCAGGGGCGTAAAATACCCTTAAACTTTAAATGACTCCCTATGTTGAGTGACACCTCATTTTTAAGCATTTTCAATTCTGCTCATGATGACATACGACTTTTTAAATTTTGATTTGGATATGAAAATAAAATAGTCTAAGATCCCGCTATATTACGACCTTCACCAAGCTGGTTAATGGATGAAAAGTATTTTATATCCAATTAAATATGTCAATAAATATATTGCAAATGGGTTGTCTAAAAAATTTCAGTCCAGAATATGATTAATTAACAATTAAAAAAATTTTTTTTAAACATTTCACTGGTTTGGTTAATAGACAAATTCCATACCAATCGAAAGTATAAAGCTCATAAAATATGCAAACGTTAGGTTGACTATTTTTTTCCCGTCACAACTCTTGGGTAGGCAGGTATAAACATTTAAATCGATACTAGTAACTTGCACAGGTCTGGTTAATGAATTAAAGTTAAATTAAAATAAAGATTATTTCATTATGAACACGGTTGTCGAGTTTTAAAAAGTGAAAATATTGCTGCGAGTGAATACGTGCGACAGAGAGGACACAACATTGCAGCTGTGTGTAGTTCGTCAATTGAAAGAAAAAGAGTGTGCATGCTATTTGTCCGTGAAAATGAAAAGGATAGCGATAGACTCGTAAATGCTGTGCAGTGCATCATTTTGGAGTAGATTGTAGTCAGAATTGAAAAAACGTGCTACTATTTATTGTTGTAAAAAAATGGCCAAAAAGTGCAGCCTGAGAACTGCGGTTGGTTCTTAGATGAATATTTAAAACCAGTAGGGTTCATTGGGGATCATAAACCTTTAAGGATAGAAGACATTGTCGAAACAACTGAAACAGAAAGCGATGACGAAGAATATTCAGAAGTTGGAGATCACAATTATATGTCCGATGACTCGGATTCTGAATAATTTGAAAAATTTAAAANTTAAAACCAGTAGGGTTCATTGGGGATCATAAACCTTTAAGGATAGAAGACATTGTCGAAACAACTGAAACAGAAAGCGATGACGAAGAATATTCAGAAGTTGGAGATCACAATTATATGTCCGATGACTCGGATTCTGAATAATTTGAAAAATTTAAAACTTTATTTTATTACAATAAAAAGATTTTTTTATTTTTGTTTTTATTTTGTCTGCTGATAGAAGTAAAATTTGCAAGATTAGTATTATATATGTATCACTATTACCTTTTTATTTACTAAAGATGTATATACTTTAATGTCACATAAAATATATACACACATATACAGAGTAGCCCATCGAAAACGTACCGCAAGGCATTACAGGATAGTAATGAACTTTTCGGCAAAATCCAAAAACAGGTAAAGTTTGCTTCTGAGGGGAACAACTTTTGGCGCAAAAAGCATAGCAAAATCTTCAACCCCCTAAGTGGGGGTGCCATCCCCCAAATTTTTTTAAATGGGAATGGGGGTCAAGTGGGGGTCATTAGAAAGGGCTTTTAATTCTCTATACATCGATTCTTACTTTTTGAAAATCGATCCATTATTTTAGAAAATATGCAGCTTTGAAAATACGAA